ACCCACACACACACCCGTTGTGCGCTGAGAGAGGCGTTGGGTTTGCTAAGCAGCCAGTAGTTTATTTTCTTGGGAAGCTCCGGTGAGTTGGGTTGATAAATTTGTCCATAGGCAAGAAAGCCCTAGGGGGGAGACTGACCTCCCCGTGTCTCCCCCCCGCTAGAGATGAGGCATGCTGGCAGAGAAGTGCCTGTAGCAAATTTGCCCTACTGCTGCCCTGTCATACAGTTAATTTGCCAGGGCTGGCTAGAGACCTTTCTCCAGCCCTAAATCCGTAAAAAAAAAAATTACACCAAAGCAAATTAGTTCATTAACTAACTTGCATAAAATGGTTTTGTGACAGTGACTTAATGCCCGTTTTTTCTCCTCAAAATTGGTGACCCTCAAAGGCTAGAAGGGCACTAGTGATCATCTAGTCTGACTTCCATATAACACTGGCCATAGCACTTCCCTGAAATAATTCTTGTTTGGCTGCTTTTCTAAAAGATATGCTCTATTTCAGGGGTGGGCAAACTTTTTGGCCCAAGGGCCACATCTGGGAATAGAAATTGTATGACAGGCCAAAAATGGTCACAAAATTGGGGTTAGGGTGCAGGAGGGGGTGAAGGCTCCGGCTGGGGGTGCAGGCTCTTGGGTGGGGCTGGGGATGAGGAGTTTGGGATGTAGGCAGGGTGGATTTGATTTAAATCACTCATCAGGAAGACTGGATTTAATCACGGATTTCTATATAAAAGTGTATTCTTGTTGGGTGTTATAACCTTAATACATATTCTTCACAGCTCAGAGATAGATGTAGGTTTCATTTTTAGAATCTGCCATCTCAAGTGACAATCTTAAAACAAATATTTTTCTGACACCTTCACCCAGAAATGGATGAGTACACAGGATATTACCTCAGTGTACAGTATTGGTGAGACGACTATTGCATTACTATGTCCAGTCCACACTTCAAAAAGCCTGTTGTAACATTGGAGAGTATTCAGAGAAGAGCCTAGAGAATAATTTGAGGACCGAATAAATAGCCTTATAAAATGTTTTGGCTTGGGTTACGGAAGATGTCCGATAACACTATCATTATGTTCCTTTCTGGCCTTAAAATCTATGCAATACCAAATAAGAAACTTCCCCTGTACCTTAAGTCTTTAATTTAGCACAAAAATAATGCATTTAATATTAATTTATTAAACATTATAACATCATTATTCTGGACTTTAAGACCAGAAGGGACCGTCATGATCATCTAGTCCAGTGGTTCTCAACCAGGGATACATGTACCCCTGCAAGTACGCAGAGGTCTTCTGGGGGTACATCAACTCATCAAAATATTTACCTAGTTTTACAACATGATACATAAAAAGCTCTAGCAAAATCAGTACAAACTAAAATTTCATACAAACAATGACTTGTTTATACTGCTATATATACTATACACTGAAAAGTAAGTACAGTATTTATATTCTCTATGATTTATTTTATAATTCTATGGTAAAAATTAGAAAGTAAGTAGTTTTTCAGTAATAGTATGTTGTGACACTTTTTTGTATTTTTGTCTGATTTTGTAAGTGAGGTGAAACTTGGGGGTACGCAAACAAATCAGACTCCTGAAAGGGGTACAGTAGACTGGAAAGGTTGACCTCCTTATTGCAGGCCACAGAACCACATCCACCCACTCTTGTAATAGACCCATAACCTCTGGTTTAGTTACCAAAGTCCTCAAATCATGTTTTTAAGACTTCAAGTTACAAGAATCCACCATTTACACTAGCTTAAAGCTGCAAGTGACACATGCCCCATGCTGCAGAGGATGGCAGAGGCCTTGATATTTTTTCACCTACCTGACCTGGGGAAAGACCTTCAGCATGGCAAGATCCAGCAGCCAGGTATCTGGGAAAGAATTCTCTGTAGTAACTCAGAGTCCTCCCATCACTTGCCTTCGGAGCTACTGAGAACTTCTTTTCCTGTTGGGTGCCAACAAAAGGGGATTTAAGATCGAACTTTGCCCCACATGCTTCTTTTACTACCTTAAATTTTGAAAAGACATCAGCTGTAACTTGAGGTAACAGGGACTTTCAGGGAAAGGAGAGGGAGGGAAAAAGGCCCTTCAGATGTTGGTGTGGGAAGCTGTGGCTTATGCAAAGTTTGCCCACAGTTTTTAAGGTGCAAGTTGGTGAGAAGTATTTATTCCTTCAGATAAGAGTTGGAAGTGCCACTCTTGGCTTCTTTGTGTAGGAAATATCTAGTACCCAGAGCTGTCACCTAACTGTGGGGCACTCTCTTGACCCACCACTAACCCTAAATGGAAAATACCACTTGGTCCCAAGCCCTCCTAGCTCCTGGCCATCATTCAGCCCTAATACCAACTATGGCACTGTCCCGCCATCTAGTCCCCATCCTAACCCTGGCCCAGGCCCACAAACTGGCTCCATCACTATCCCTAGCCTAGGGGGATGCAAAAATAACCATAGCCTTTTGGCACCAACCTTTGTACAGGATAATCATTCAGCTTCATCTCTAAACCCTAGATTGAGGGTGGGTGGGGGTGTCCCCCAAAGTGTAACCTGCGCGTGGAGCCAGCAATAGGTCATAACGTTAAACTTAACCAAAAGCAATTGATAGTCCACAGAGATTAGTACCAGTGGTCTAGTATTAGGCATGGGACTGATGGTAGTGTTTAGTGTTTACAGACTGCATGTTATCTGTAGTTAGGGATACTAACTATAAAGGCAACTAATAGTCCATGGATGATCATATCAATCTAGGAGTAGGAATTTAGACAAATTATAGTCTCTGTAGACAGTAGGACTGAGCCCAGTAGAAGGTCTCTGGCGAGGATTATGGTTGGCCCCGAATGGAGGCTGCTGTTGGTGAGGGACTTGGTTTCATCACCCGGTTACTGTAAACTGTCTTCATTCTGTTGGACTGTGCCTCGGTCCTCTGTGTTGCTCATTTACCTAGTTTCTTCTATTGCTTGTGCATCAGGCCAGCTGATGTCAGAGACTGTCCATCTGTTTCTGGATGGCCTTTGCCCAGACTGTCTGGGTATGCTGTTTGCCTATTGCGCAGTTGCCTTCAGTTTCGTCTCTCTTGCTGTATCTACCTCATATGACCTGTGTCCCATTGCAACGTGGACTGTTGCCTTTTGCCATTGCTTTGTGACTATTTGATGGTTAGACCCAGACATACTCACCTGTGCATAGTAGCCTCAAGTCCTTGTCTCCTTGATTGTAGCAGGCTGCTAACTCTTAGCTTGGCAGACTCTTGTCCATTATTCCTCCTTTAGGCTGGAGTAGGTAAGGATTTGATTTTAACAATATCCTTGATTCCTTTTAGCTATAGAACTTTTTTAAGGAAAAAGCCTCTGTCTGACAGTTTCTTAGATGGCATTAGAAGATGGTAATAATTGCCCTTTTGGAGGGAGGGGAGTTGAAAGAGAAAGTCAGTTGAGATGAGCTGGAGCTAGGGTGACCAGACAGCAAGTGTGAAAAATCGAGACGGGGGTTGGGGGTAATAGGAGCCTATATAAGAAGACCCAAAAATCGGGACTGTCCCTATAAAATCGGGACACCTAGTCACCCTAGCTGGAGCGGTGTTTGTTGCTGTTGTTTAAAGTCTTAGAAAAGAAGACAAAGCCACGCACAAGAGGAGAAAAGACCAGACGAAAGAGAGAAATGCAGCTTCTTTCTCTAGTGCTGACTCCTACTTGCAACCTTACTTCTAGAGCAGCGGTCCCCAATGCGGTGCCTGCACCCACTGGGACATTTATGTGCGCCCGCCTAGTGCCCAGCAGGCGAGAGAAACCGGGGGGGGGGCTGCGGGTGCCGGAGTTCTTTCCCCGGCAGGCGCAGGGCCACGGCTTCTCTCCGCGCTGCCCAGAACTGGCCCTCCACCCCGCCCACCCACCCCCAAAAAAACGGTTTGGACTGCCGCCGCTGGAACTGCCAAAGCATGCAGAAAAACCCACCCGAACTGCTGAAGCGGCGGGGGGAACCCGCTTGAACTCTGCTGCCCTAAGAATGGACGGAATGCCACCCCGTAGCATGTGCTGCCCCAGGCACATGCTTGCTCCTCTGGTGCCTGGAGCTGGCCCTGTATGTGAGTATTCTTCTGCTGCACTGATACTGCTGTTTTCTTGTGCTTTGCGATTTATTATTTTTTTAACATTTT